TTGCTCTTCAAGCAAAGCAATACAAAAATAATATTATGCCATTTGGATTTTTCATGAAAATTAGAAAAAACTGGCTCTTGAATAAACAGCGCCCTCTAGAAGACGCGGTGGGAACTATCGACCTCGAACGAAGTGGTGTTCTAAATAACAATGAAATTGTCTTCCAAATAAACCCAAATTGAATGAGTTTGAATGAGGTGTATGGAAGATACAGAAATTTGTAAAAAAAAAAATCACCAGTTTTCCCCACCCTTATTACTGAAGATACGAAAAAAAGCCTAATAACCAAACTGGCGCAAAAATTAATGAACTTTTGATTTCTGTTGTTAAAACAGTATCTTAATATAGCGATTTCTTGAGAAAAGTTGAATTTTTAGCTATATTGTGGCGTCATTTGTTCCGCGAGTCCGTTGTGTTCAACCCTGGATGGCTCAACTATTGTGTACAACCCTGGCGGCCTGACGTGACGTGACAGAAGACAGCTGTCCCAGGTTGTTGTTTACTTCAAGTCAGCCATTGATGACTTGATAGTGTTCTCGGATTCCCATGAGGAACATCTGCAACATCTACGCAAAATCTTTAATGTTCTGCGTGAGAACAAACTCACTATCAACCTCAGCAAGTGCCAAATCAACAAGTCAGAAGTTATGTACCTCGGCTACTCCATCAACAAGCTCGGATACAAACCACCTGATTCCAAGATCCAAGCCATCGCTTCTTACCCCAAGCCAGAGACCATCTCTGACCTTCGTAAGTTTTTGGGAATGCTCAATTATTACCGTCGCTGTATTCCAAATGCCGCTGAACTTCAAGCCCCTCTCAATGCATTTATGAAGGGTGCCAAGAAAAAAGACAAACGGCCCATCCCTTGAGCCGCATTCTTTCGGACCGGATCAGTTGATCAAAACGCGTTATGTTCCAGTGATCACGTTCTTTCGCATTTTGGCAAATGACAGTTAACGAATCATGATCCGAGAAAGTCTGAACATATTGAACATTTTTTGTTTGTGATTAGTTTGTTCCGATCGCGAAAATCTAACCTCAACTTTCAAATTATTTCTTGTTTACTTTTTGCGCTTTCTGCAATAATATATAATATAAATTTTGTAAGCTCGTCCATTATTATAAGCACAGAAAAACAAACGTAGCAAATCAAAAAACTGCAAAATATAATAATAACCAACTCAAAAAATAGAGAATAGAGGAAAAGCACCAGCTGGCAGTGACACATCAGTGACAGCGTTTTTTCGGACTAATAAATGAAACATGTTCCATCTGAACGAACGGATTCAAATATTTTGCGAAAGAATGCGGCTTTGGACACCCAGCTCAGAGAAGGCCTACCAAGACTGTGTAGAAAGCATTGTCAAAGCGACTTGTACCAGCTTCATCTCCCCCTCTGCAAGTCTCGCCCTCGTCACTGATGCCTCGGACTTCGCCATTGGAGCTGCACTTGAACAGCTGATCAACGACTGCTGGAAGCCCATAGGTTTTTTTTCCCGCAAGTTGAGTCCCACCGAAACGCGATACAGCACCTACGATCGCGAGCTGCTAGCGATTTTCGCTGCTATAAAGTTCTTTCGTCACCAGCTGGAAGGACGCCAGTTCATCATCAAAACTGATCATCGCCCACTGGTATACGCCTTTGCTCAGCGCGCTGAAAAAGCATCCCCCAGACAGCTCCATCAACTGGACTTTATTTCACAATTCAGCACAGAAATCGTCTATGTCAAGGGAGAACACAACGCCGTTGCTGACGCCGTCTCGTATTAACGCTATCTCCATGCCAACGTCACTGTCTCCTAAAGCCATCGAAGCCGCACAGCTTGAAGACCAAGATACGCCACAAGAATCATCGCTCAATCTGCAACAGCTTGTTATTGAAAACGCCAACGTCCTCTGCGATATTTCTTCAGATCGCATCAGACCCTACATTCCGACAAGTCTCCGACGCAAAGCTTTTGAAGTTGTGCATGGTTTGGCACACCCCAGCGGCCGAGTCACTGCTCGAAGCCTCAAAGAAAAATTTGTTTGGCCTGGAATCAAGAAGGACGCCCTCCAGTGGTCCCGCCAATGCATTCAGTGTCAAAAATCTAAAATTCAACGACACAATCGTCTCGCACCACAGCACATCACCGTCTGACAACAGATTCGAGCATATTCACCTAGACCTCATCATTTTACCACCAGTCAACAAATTTCGTTACTGCTTAACCATAATCGATCGATTTTCTAGATGGCCTGTTGCAGTACCCCTCCAGAACATGGAAGCTGACACCGTCTCGTCTGCTCTCTATGTCAATTGGATTTGCAACTACGGAACGCCACTATCCATCACAACTGACCAGGGCACGCAATTTGAGTCTTCACTATTTTCGGCTCTTGCACGCCTTGTAGGAGCGCGGGTAATCCACACCACGCCCTATCACCCGCAGTCCAATGGCATCGTAGAGCGCTTCCATAGGACTTTGAAGGCAGCCCTTATGTGTCAAGCACCCACGCCCTGGACGGAAGTGCTTCCGACCGTTCTTCTGGGTCTGCGTACGTGCTTGAAAGAAGACCTGAATGCCTCACCAGCGGAGCTCCTTTATGGGACACCCCTGCGTATACCTGGTGAATTCTTCACCTCTGAGTCACCCCCAGCTGATCCCCAAGTCTTCCTCGAAAAATACCGGGACCACATCAGGAAAGTCCGCCCAACACCTACGGCTCACCATATCAAATCTCGCTGCTTCATCCTCAAGGACCTCGCAACTTGCAGTCATGTCTTCCGCCGAGTGGACTCTGTTCGTTGCCCGCTCGAACCGCTCTACACTGGCCCGCATGAAGTCGTCAAGAGAATAAATGACCGAGTGTACAGCATTCGAATCAATGGCGTTGAGAAGACTGTCTCTGTGGACGCCCTGAAGCCAGCCTACACCCTTAAACCCGATACCGTTTCATCCACCCTGGAGAATCACCCAGCGTCATCCTTCACCATGGACCGCCCTCTTCGCACTTACTCAAAAAAGAAGGTTTCGTTCCTCCCACAAGTGGCTTCGTCACTGGGAGGGGAGTAGATGTGGCGTCATTGTTCCGCGAGTCCGTTGTGTTCAACCCTGGATGGCTCAACTATTGTGTACAACCCTGGCGGCCTGACGTGACGTGACAGAAGACAGCTGTCCCAGGTTGTTGTTTACTTCAAGTCAGCCTGGTTGCCGCGCAATTATGATATCATGTTGTTAACAAAATAAAGTATTTCGATTTATTTGTATGTTCAGTGCCCAGAATTAAACCGAGTTATTAGTTAAACAGTGTTTTCATTCGCTGGTGATATATCAAGCAAACACATAGCAGTAGTAGCTATAATATCATCGTGATTGCGCCCCCTAGCGGTCATCCTAGAAACTTGAACATAATTTCCATCAATTTCTCTTGGCCGATTTAGTGAAGAAAAAAAAATCCCGAAGCCGTAAGGTCTATTGTTCGTCGATTTTCAACTGACACTTGCCGTATGAGGAGCGAGGGGGTGTTTCATATGGCAAAAACAGGTGTGACGTCAGGTAACCATTGGCGTTCTCGTTCTAATGTAGGGAGCCACCAGCTCACATTCCGTCCGAGTATCAGATTAAAATCGACGGACAATATGGTTTCCATAATATGGTACCTGGCCGACCTTAGTGGGACACCTGGTACAAGTGAATTTGTATTGCATAAGTGATCCCGATTGTGAACGCGTCAACAGTGCTCGGAAATATCTCTATAGTACTGAAAATCGCTCCCTTTTTTTAATACTTTCCACATCTGCCTCTCTTAAGCAGCACACTTTAAGACCAGCATATCAAGCAGGACCGATAAGGGGAAGGTATAATAAACTAGAGGCACCTCCAGAGCCAGACGAGTGGGGTTGCAAGCGGTCAGAGCAAGGCTGGAAGCCGATTCGGTCATCTTTGTTTGCCACACATCTGGCAAGGTTTCACAGAGCTTAACCATTGTGGTTGTCTTGAAGACTGTAAAACGATGCGCTTTATTTGCCGACTAAGGGCCAAATTACACTATATTTGCATCTGCAAACTTGCAGTTCTGCAAATATGGCCGACTTGCATATGTGCGCTATTTGCAGAAACGAACAAATAACAGAAAAAATCTGCAATTTTGTCATATTTATGGGGAAAACGTGTTTAAGCGCTACTGATTTACCAGTTTTAAATGTCAAAGTTGTCAAAGTTATTCCAAGGACTTGCGGGACCGTTTCACCATGCGCAAATTTGCAGGCGACCTGCAAATGCATTCTGCTTCTGTAATACGAAAATTCAGACTTGCGGGTCCTGCAGTTGTATCTTGGTTTTGCAGAGCTTCTGTAATTCCAGGCTAAGTAATCTGCCATGCACTCTCAATTGCAAGAAATGTAAAGGTGAACGCACAAACCAAAGGTTATTGTAATGAAGACATTGATAATAATGCATGCAATACTAAGTATTTTTTTGTTTTGTTTAAAAAATATCAAAATTTGAAGTTTGTAAAAATTAAAATGACTGCAAAAATAATTAAACTTTTTGAATTCTATATTTCTGACCTCACCATTGAAATCAGTGACCCCATCAAGTTACCCTCAAATGATACCACATGCCACCTTTTGCACAGTAAAACAGATTTTTTGACAATGAAAAAAAAAAACAATATGGCCGCCAGGATGCCTAAACTTATTAACAAAAAAGTTTTGGAAACATCTTGAATGTTTGTGATGACTATCAAATAGGTACTCAATTAATACCAAAAAAATGGATTTTCAGTAGAAAATATGTTTGGTTCTTCAAAAATAACCGTTTATTACTATAATGGCCGCCATATTGGTTTCACAGGGTGGGGGAAGCAAGTGCTGCGGGTCAAATCGATGCAGGACATAAACATCATCTGTGCCAAATGGCTTGCTTTCTTCATTATTCGTCAGATTTTTTCAATTTTAAATATGTCCGCTTCGGCTATTAGTGATGCTCGTTTCAACGAATATAAATGCAAGATGGCTTTGAATAATTTATTAAAATTAATAACATACCTACTTAACATAGCATAAAAAAAACTCTCAAAACTTTAATGTCATTTCAATAATTTTAAGTGGAACAATATCCTGTTTTTCTCAACTAAAAACAAAACTTCTTTTCCAAAAACATACCTATTTGACTAGAATCTAGATTTTCCTGACTATCTTATAAATAAAACTAAATGAAAATAAATAATGGTTTTTTGGTTTTCAGGCAACAGTCTATTTTTTATGAAAAAGCCATCCCAAAAAACCCTGCGCCGCTTCCACCAGAGGATTTGAATTATTCTCTTTGTTTTCACTAGCGTTATTGTTACTATCTGGAATATTATTGTTGTTGCCCGTAACTTCATCAGTTTTCTCTGGACAATTGTACATTTTATTGATTTTCGTCAAGTCTCCTTTACTGAAACCTTCGCGTTGACCCATTTTTTCCGCTTTGGAAGAATCCTAGGATAAGAAAAAAGCTCAATATTTTAGAATCTGTTGTTTTACGAAATTTACCTTTGGAATTATGGTTGGTTTTCCATTTACGGAGAAGGCTTTGCCAGAATAGTGCATAACTGATCTAAAATCGTATGGAACTCCATAGCCCGTCGTTTTGGCATCATCTGCTTTATCGAAATTGTTTTCATGCCCTAAAATATTCGGTATTTGAAGACTTTGTTCAAGAATATATTAGGAAAATATTGTGATTAAATGACATTATTTGTTAGAAAGAACAACCATTTAGTTCATGGAATCCGACAGATAAACCTTGAAATTTCTGCTGGAGACTTGCTTTTCAGGAAACATGTGTAGAGGATCAAGGAAACGGTATTTGGAGCTAGAGATTTCGGAAAGATCTTCTTTATTCTTGGCTCTTCTTGCACTGTAGACGATCTAGTTATACTTATAAGTTACATCCAAAAAAAAGCTATATTTAATGTCCACCGGGAATTTAAGTTGTGTGAATGTTTTGCTGGTTAAGAAAAATTGAAGAGAATGTCATTTTTATTATAGTGCATGGAATGCAATCACAGTTAAAAATTTCACAATCCTTCAGTTAAGTTCTATATAAAATTTGTGACGTTTTTTTTATCAATATGCAAACATTGATGGCTAGATTGTTCCCTCAATCTTTTGAGAATAATATTGCAAGAAGAATGGACAAAAAGTCTCTTGGAATGATGATGTAGAACAGGCTTTTCGTGTAATCGAAAACAATACTTAATCTCTTGTTCCGCACGATTACTAATCCTGATCTTGAGCTCAAGTTTACACAGATGATTAAAGCCATTTTCAAAGTATAGAAGTTGATGGATGTCGAATTCCATGCACTCAGTAACGATGTCTTTTTCTTCACTTTGGTAGCAAGAAGTGTATGAGCTATGAGGATCCTGAAGCCAAATTGGCAATACATTTTTAGGCAAACCCAACGTTAACCAGTGAATTTAAATTTCTTCGTCAAGAGAGCTGGCTGATGGGTGAATCATACTCTACGTATAACGACCCACAATAAACCCAATCAAGAGCCGAAGTGATACTACACATAAAATCTAACTAATAAAATTAGAATATATATCTAGAAAATTCCTCAACACACACGCGACATTCGCTTACCTACCAGATCTAATATTCTGCCAAGCAATCGTCACGTAATCGTCCCGTTCATAACGATTTTGTTCGTGCAAAAATCCAACGGCGTGCATCAATTCGTGAATCGGAGTGCCCACTCTGGTGACACAAGAAGGACTTTGAAGGTTCACTTCTTGTTTACCTCCGATTCGTCCGACACTGGACCAACAGCCTGTGTTCGAATTTACTATCGAAATGTAATCGTTGTCGGAAGCAGTACGCTTTCTGAATCTAGAACAAACAGTTCATTAAAACACCAAGTTTTTGACATACTGTTATAGTCTGCGGACCAGATTGATATAGATCGAGAAGCCTTGACCATCATTCATATTAATCTGGTCTGGGAGATGACAAAAGAATCGAATGCAATATCATAAGAACAGCTATTTGGCGCTTCAAATTAGTATCTTAATAAACAAAAATGAATGAGATGCTTACTTTAGACATGTATATTTATGGTAAATACTAATAGCCTTTTTGATATTGCCGAGGCTATCCGAATCAAAGAATCCGTCAATTTGATAGGGAACTTCGCCATTAGGCCACCTAAAATAAATCAGAATTAGGTATTGTTTGTCCCTCTATAAAAAATCATAAATTGTAGCTTTGATAAGATTATTAATAAAAAATCTTATTGACGGATGATTGATTCCTTATAAAATAATTACCTTGCACTTTCGGTGACGAGTCCATTTCGTGCCGTTTTAGGAAATACAATGTCTCCTTCGGCGTATTCCCCCATTTCTTCAGGATTCATTTCGGACGTGTGATCCCAGTTTTCCAATAGTCGACCGGTCTCCAGACTTGGTTTCCTGCAAGGTGCATTCTAGTATTGAAAGTTTTTTGTCTTAAGTGGAATTTAAGTTAGGATTTCTTTTTCTTTTCAAATTTTGGTCGGCTTACAAAATACAAAGTCTAAACTACCTAAACCATTGACGGAAAAAAATTAGGTGACGATTGAACATGTTAAGGTTGAATCGTTTAGGAAATGAACTAGGAGGCAGGGAGTTCCAGAGGTCGGCAGTAAGTCACCAAAAAATAGCCCTAGAGATCCTCAGAATAGTCAGCTTTACCACATACGGATGGGATGTCTGTGAGGTTCTTGTGGTTCTTAAATAACTTCTCCCAGCTGAAATAAAGCTGGACAGATCGTCAGAACATGGTAATAGCGATAAAATAACGACAATTCGGCCACCTTGCGTCTATGATCGAAAGACTGCAATGAATCGGTGTGTGTGTATTTCTATTGCTCTTCCTTGTACTGTATATCTAATAAAGAATAAAGTCAACGAATACTTTCCATACATCATGGTCTGGGTTATTATCGCCGGAAGATTTTTTATTTGAGAATACTGTTGCTTGAGTTTTGTAAGCATTGAATTTGACTATGCTACTAAGGCCCCAGATGGTAAAAGTGTTAATATCACTGTTGATACGTTGATAAAGTTCTCGGGCGAGGCGTGTATAAGTAGCTGCCGTAAGCGGTTTGTCAGATAAGAAAGATATTATCAAGCTACTATCGTTCGCAAAGCTGTATATGGGCTATGGGGTTTCTTGTCACAAATCATTTATAAAAATGACAAAGTGTTTGGGACAGAATTGAGCCTTGGGGAACGCCGAAATTTATAGCCAGTGTGTTAGAAGATATACCATGGACCACAACATGTAGTGAGCTGCTTTCAAAAAGCTCCCCAGTCAATGGAAAAATTCGTTCAGAAAACCATACGAGGGAAGTTTGCTGAGGAGACTTGATCAAAAGCTTTGCAGATGTCCAATGCTGCAATTCCAGATTCGCCATGTTTTTCGAGTTCCAAATACGACTGACGTACGCTAGCAGATCCCTTGTTGATCTTTTAGAACGATATTGGAATGTTGGTCAGGGATGAGTTTATTGGTTTCAAATCAAATCGAATCAAAATATGCTTTATTGTTTAAAAATACAAATCTTGTTGACAAAGCTTCCAATATGCTCTAAGATATTGATACAATATAATATAATTTGAAACATCAACAGAGTAGACACATCGCACTATTACGTAGCGGAGATGCGAAGTATTTCTCTACAGAGTAGAAAGCATTAATCAAAAGTAACTCCTTTATTATTCTTATGCTACGAGTAGAGTGATTAGTATATTACATACCGAGTAGGGAAGTGTTTCATTACTGAGAAAATATTTGGTTTGATTTTCTATGCTTTTCCATCCATAGACGCGTTTCGACCTATCAGGTCTCATCAGTATGGCTAGGAAAAGCAAAGAAAACCAAACCAAGTACAACGGTCGAAATTTGATCGTGGCGCCATCTAAGACAAAACTTCAACACCAAGCAGCAAATATTTTCTCATCAGTGGATAATAGGTTTTCCTATTTTGGGTTTTCCCACGAACTGAATTTTGGTCGGCCGATTATACACTCAGTCACCATATTGCAGCGAAAATTGCTGCTTGGTGTTGAAGTTTTGTCTTAGATGGCGCCACGATCAAATTTCGACCGTTGTACTATGTATATATTGCCTACAGGCACGAAACTTGGTTTGGTTTTCTTTGCTTTTCCTAGCCATACTGATGAGACCTGATAGGTCGAAACGCGTCTATGGATGGAAAAGCATAGAAAATCAAACCAAATATTTTCTCATCAGTGGATAATAGGTTTTCCTATTTTGGGTTTTCCCACGAACTGAATTTTGGTCGGCCGATTATACACTCAGTCACCATATTGCAGCGAAAATTGCTGCTTGGTGTTGAAGTTTTGTCTTAGATGGCGCCACGATCAAATTTCGACCGTTGTACTATGTATATATTGCCTACAGGCACGAAACTTGGTTTGGTTTTCTTTGCTTTTTCTAGCCATATTGATGAGACCTGATAGGTCGAAACGCGTCTATGGATGGAAAAGCATAGAAAATCAAACCAAATATTTTCTCATCAGTGGATAATAGGCTTTCCTATTTTGGGTTTTCCCACGAACTGAATTTTGGTCGGCCGATTATACACTCAGTCACCATATTGCAGCGAAAATTGCTGCTTGGTGTTGAAGTTTTGTCTTAGATGGCGCTACGATCAAATTTCGACCGTTGTACTATGTTTCATTACTGTCGAGAGATTTATATAGTCAATCGATACGCGAAGCGTAGCAGTAGTGCAGATAGAGTAGAACAGATAGAGTGAAACAGGGCTGCGCTGGAGATCTTTTTTGTTTTCTTTACATTTTTCGAACACTCCTGTGCCTGAGTTTATTTATTTTGTAGTACACTTTACAAGAATAATGCCCACAAGCTGCCTAAAAAAGGATGATGTAAAATTTTAATTTTGGGTGACTTCTGATCCAGAGAGTAAAAATTAATTTTCTTCAACCAAAGCCAAATTCACCATCGAAAAAAACTGAATTTAATTCAGCTAATAGATACATTAACACAACATTTAATAGTTTTTTAATAATTCAGAGGCGGTACGAAGTTCGCCGGGTCAGCTAGTAAGTTATAAAGAATAGACTGAAATAGTTTTGTAGACGAAAGCCGCATTCTGATCTTATAGCACGCTTCTGGAGAATAAATTATGATGTTAAACAAAGTTAATGAGCATTTCCCTAGAAGCAAATTCCATATCTGGGATTTGACAGTACTAAAAAAAAGTAAACCCTTCTAGCATCCGATTTTCCCACTACCCAGCTCAGCCTTGGCAGTTCTAACAGCGAAACATGCCGGTGATACTTTTCAATACAAGTGTTCAATGTGTTTTTGTCTCAAACTTGAAACCTGAGCTGATAATCAACAATCATGCCAAGATACTTGGTCTCCCCATTTTTGCTCATAACAGTGTTATCCAGATTATAAACATCACCAAGATTAGACTTGAAATTCTTGATGGATGTCTTTTGAATATTAAATGATAGCCGATTGGACTCGCACCACATTTGATTCTTGCTAAGTCGTCGCTCACACAGTCAGCATGTGTCTTTATGATGCCAAACTATTGTGGTATTGTTAAGAAGTTTTTTCAGGGAATGACCAACCATTACCTGAAAAAACAATTATCATTGCCAACGAAAGCTCAGACCAATCAATGTAGTTCAATGCCGGTAGGGGTATTTGCCCTCGGAGTAGTTGTTTCTGACTGGTCAACGAAGTTCTATTGTGGTATTATTGGCAAATGAAGTGCACAGACCATATTCCATTTTGCTCTAGAAAAACCATCATTCGCTCCTTGATAAGCTTTTCAACTATCTTGCTTAGCGTGGGCAACAGTGATATGGGTCGGTAATTAGAGGGCTACTCCTTCTCCCCTCCTTTAAAAATTGGGAAACTGATTGTACCCACTATACCTTTTTTATTTGACATTTTAGAGTGTCTCAAATAAAAGTTTTATTGTTGAAATTATTATTTTTTTAAAACTCCCTTTCGCATACCTACACCTTTCAGAAAAGCTGGTCGTGGTCAAGGTTGTTTGGGAAAGATAGGTTGCTTGCTAGCCTGCTATGACGTCATCTGTGTGGGTGTCTCAACATGATGCCATGATCTCCATAAGGCACCCCACATGCGTTACCCATTACCAGGCAACCCAAAAGTCTGAGGACCAGACAGACGGAGCTTCATTGTAATTCGTAATAAGTGCTAGTCTTTATAGTTGGTATCTTAAACGAAAACAGAGCTAATCCAAATTTCCTTCCTCTTGATAATCTTTATAAGAAAAATAAAAACCCTAAGAAAAAAAAAATAAAACTTAAAAAAAAAAAATTATGACCCTCAACGAGAATCGAACCAGGATCAATTTTCTCCAAAAAGGTATGTGCGTATCCTCACTGGGCCACACCATACCTCTGGAAGTAGGTAATCGTAGAAATCGAAGTAATAAAGTGAGCAAACATCACCTTTCCTAAGCTATTACGATACATTTGGCAACGGAACCCATTAAGATCGGTGCAACGTTTTGGTGAATTTAGCCACATGTGGAAATCGTTTGGCATGTTCGTAGCTCCGTCTATCTGCTCCCCAGGCAACCTATTAACTTTAAAAACCTTGGTGGTGGTTCAACTCTTCCATTAAATGGAATTTTATGTATGGTATTGAATATTCGGATTGTATTTCTACAACGTAAAATTCTGAGCAGATTTCATGTGTCATGATTTTACCCTTTGTGTTCTTTTGGGCAGTCGTAACACTCAAAAATCTTTGGGGTCCCTTTAGGGGGGCCCATCGAAATGTCTGTACTGGAGCCCGCGCGTGCTTTGCACGGCCCTGCCCAGCATCTATCAGCAAACAAACTTATAACCATGTTCGTTAATCAGTTATCATACCTAAACCCAAGCCCTTAACCTAATGTAGATAGTAGATTGTGGGGGAGTCGTTTCGGCTTTTCAGCCGCTCAGCACTGCTACCTTTGCAGATATTTTGTACGTGACTCTACATATTAAGTTGTCTCCAGGAAGCTTAGACTTCTGCCAAAGGAAGCTATTTTTCTGGATGTCAGTTGGCCCACTTCTTCTGGTGACAGTGTTGCCCCCTCGAGGAATTTCAGCCTCTTGCAGAACTGGGCTGGACATTCGCAGAGCAGGTGCTCCAGAGTCTCCGCTGCGTCTGAGAATCTGCAGAGATCGTCTTCTGCTCTGCCCATTAACCTTAAATAGTATTTTACCAGGCAGTGTCCTGTGAGCAGTTCTAAACCTAATGTGGTAGCACGTCTTCAATAAAGGAAATCAGGGTAACTGGCAAAGGTATTGTTGATTTTAGCAAGAAAATAACTATAAAATAGTGTTTTGAACATCCATCGTAATAAAACCAGTCCAACAAACAAAATTAAAGTGTTTCTGGTTGTGGT